TGGGCCAGCAAATGGAGGGCAGATGGGACATCCCACAGCATCTAAAAGGGAAGTAGATATACAGAAGGCAGATCCCAGAACCATACCATTAAATGCTGGTATTTCAATTTGCTAGTCAGAATTCACCTGCAAGTTTTACAGTGGGTAGAATGGAAGGTCCTATTCTACTACAAAACCTGATGTATTCATTTACACACCTCAAGACCCGGAGACCCTTCTTATAGCTGACTGTAACACTTATTGTCATGACTTTGTGTCTAGTGTATTTTCATGGTTGTTATATACTATTCATCTCAGCAAGCTCCCTTTCAGCTGAGGTACAGAGCTCTGATATTTCACTGGAAATGGGCCTAAATGTCCTGTTTATTACAATTTTTGATGACTTCTTTCTCCAGTGCTGTAGTGTATTCAGCATTGCTTTCTACTTGTCTAGCTGAGTCTGACAGAAAATGCATGTGCAAATAATTGACTTTGGGTAAATTGCAATCATTCTCTACTTAAGTGTATTCTTGCTCATCAGCCACAGAGCACTTTCACATGTCCTAGAGTGTTTTAAAAATCATAGGAACACCTGATTGTGGTCACATTTGATTCATCAACAACTGAGTGCCATCAGTTTTAATAGGTGTTTGTTTTGCTGTAATTAATTGTCTTTATTCGCCCTCTTCAATTGTGGTGAGGTTGTGGTGGACTGGAGGTTGGCTTCTGCTCCTGTGTTATGGTGATGGGATGAGAGATAATGGCTTTAAGTTGTTCCAGGTGATGTTCAGGTTGGGTATTAGGAAAAATTTCTATGCTAGTCAGGAACAGAAGCAGGCTGCTCAGGGAGGTGGTGGGGTCCCTGGAGACATTAAGTAACGTTCAGATGTTGTACAAAGGGACATGATTTAGTGGGGAAATATTGATGGTAGGTGGATGGTTGGACTGGGTGAGCTTGGAGGTCTCTTCTAAACTTGGTGATTTTATGATTGTTGGGAAGAAATAGCGAGAATGTACTTTGTTTCTGTGTATAAGTACTTCTGAGGTACAAATACCAAGTAGAAAATGTTTCTTTTAGTTGAAGTAGGAAGTTCTGTTCCTTTCTGCTGCTCATTCTTACCCCTAAATTACTTCTTTCTTGGGCCAGAAGAGGTATTTGTAGAACATATGGGAAACCAGACTTGAAAAATATAATGGAAGAAAAAACTACTTTCTGTGTGAATTCTTCATAAACTTGCTTAACTGCAGAGATGCAGAACCTACTCAGCCATCATATAAAAAGATGGAGTGAAATAGGGGTAATAAGAAAGTAAGAGCAAAGGGTGCTGTGCTCTTTAACATCAGAGCAGGTTTTTATGAACATCAAGCTGAGTTCTAAAACCCAAAGAAATCCTTCATGAGTTGTTTGTTTATTTGTCGATTTGTTTTTGCTTTTGTTTCTCCCGGTTCCTGCAATATATTGGTAGTAGATTAAAATGCAACAGCTCTTGATACATCCATGCATTGGGATCTGTCAGCATGTGGTATATCTTCAGTGTTGAAGAGCATGAAGCACAGTGGATCCTTTGCTTCTGAGATCTTACACACTAAAAAGAAGACAAGAGCCAATAGGGACAGAAATTATAGGACAGAGAAACAATGTAGCAACACATTTGGGGGATAGAGCTTCATTCCCTATTTAAACCATAATGACAGCCTTTCAATACCTAAAGGGAGCTTACAAACAGGAGGGGAATCAACTCTTTGAAAGGGTAGGTAACAGCAGGACAAGGGGAAATGGTTTTAAATTGAGGGAGGGAAGATTGAGGTTGGATGACATGCATCCAACCATTCTGCAATTCTGTGACGATGAAAGGAAACAAAACAGTACTGCATCTCTGCCCAATGTCCCTGTGATCAGTCTGGGTGAAGGTAGCAGACTGTAGGATCCAGAACCCAGGGACACAGCAGGCATCAGTTTTACCCAGGAAAAATAGCAAGTAAATAGCACAGCTAGCATATACTAGGAAAATGTACTTATTTTCTGATATTCAGAGTTCTCTGTGGCACTTCCATAACAATCCATTTACCCAGCTGTTTTATCTTCCTCCTTAGCATTCCCCTAAACACCACAGAGATCACCAGCTGAAATAATGCTTCTATCCTTGTTGTATGCCCACCAGTCTCTGAATACAGTGGAGCTTTTATTTTTAATTATAGTTGCAATAGGCTGCTCTGCAATGTCATGTTCTGTCTAACCAGTGGATTCTGCACTTTTGGTAATTGCAGCCTTTTCCCCATACCTCTAGGGCTTTTTGTTGTGCGCATTTAGTCAGATTCATCAAAAGACTATTTGAAAATGTCAGTAGACTCACCTTTTTTCCCCAGCTGATGGCTCATATTGCAACCTGCTGCTGGAGCACTGCACTTTCGTTGTCTAAGGCATTTGTGTATGCACCCAGAGGAAAGGCTGTTGCATTTCGGAAGGATTTTGGTTAGGGAAAAGCATTATTCAGGTAGCACCATATGGTAACAAGAGCATCCGTATCCTCCAGCTCCTACAAAAGGTTCTGAGCAGCTTAGTAAATGTCAAGTCATTCATGTTAAGTGACGTTAATTGATTCAGAACATCCATAATGGGGATTAGGAAGAATCAGAAGTCTGTTGCTCCCTTGTCTAAGTTTCAGATGGACGTGGTGATTAGATCCCCCTCTGACGTTCTCAAAGGACATCTTAATGCATGTCAGAGTTGTATAAAAGTGTGCAGAGTAGATTTACCATGGGAGGACTCATTTTGTGATTAAAAAGTAGAAAAGCAACAAAGAGTCCAGCAAATAATTTATATGAATGTGATGAACAGAAATTAGATTCCTAAATAAGGTTTTAGTTTAAGAATGAATGGACATAAGTGAGGAACTCAGGGACTTGAATGTAAGTGAAGTTTCCAACATTAGCTACACTGACATGTTAGAGAAACCCAACGAGAGCTTTATTTTCTGTATCAGCATGGACAACAAGCCATGCAAAGAGGAGTTTCCAGCTAGTCTATTAAAAGTTCAAGGACTGGAATGTGGCCTGTGGTGTAGATGCTGGGGATCAGATAGGAAAACCTGGTGGATGAGAGGAAATATAAGGGGAAAGAAGCACAGAGAGATCAATACCTTCTGCTAATGACTGCACATGTCAAGGCCCTACCCTCCAAAAAGAAAAAGCAAACACAAAATTGTCTTTCATTTGATTCTATTCCAGACTGGCATGCTGGTTGTCATGACCTAAAAGGCTCCATCAGTATGACCTGAGAGGCCTGAAACAATGGAATCCTGATGGGACATTCTGGATTGGAATCTCATGCTGATATTCATTAATTGCATCTAGATTTTTGTAGAAAGACTCTTGACAGAAATATGCTTTAAAATATGGCAACCAAGTCCCTGAGTGACACAACCTGATGCTGAAATTTGCCCTGTTTTGAAGGGAGGATTTGGCTGGGATCAGACCATCGCCGGTCCCTTTTGAACCAAATTGTTCTGTTCTGTGATTTTGTACGCTCAACTCTATTCAGCAGGAATTCTGATCTCTTCTTATCTTGTCAGACCTCTACTTTTCATTTTCTTCTACAATTGTTAGAATTAAGAATTAATAACACTATGCAGTGCCTGCCTCGTGTAATGGTGCCTACATTTTTCTTCCTGTTGGGTAAGAATTATTAACTTTATTAACTGATGAGAGTTGGCCATAGCTTCAACTCATCCACTGGAGATGAGGAAAAAACTGTAAAAATCAGTCTTTGAATGATTTTTGGGATGTTTAACCACTTGTTTTTATAACCAGTGTGATTTTGGAGTAGCAGTTGAGCAATAAGATCACATTATGCACTACTGAGAGACAAACATAAAGAAAAGAGGAGAACTGGGTTACCACTGTTACCCTACAAATGTCTATGTCGTCATCTTTATCGTGCACATTCAGCATGGATTTGGCAGCACTATTTGATTTTAGATGCAAATTTCTTCTATATGCATGTCTAAGATAAGGTACATTCTGATACCAAACATACACATTTCACTATTTTAATACAACAGTCCACACATTCCCATTGCAGAGAGCAGTGTGGTCAGGACTACCAAGGTACAAAGAAAGAAATTAATAGGTATCACTGACATGACCCAGTTGCCCAAGCATAGGCAAGGCATGTTGCATATCTGAAATATCTACATAGAGCTGGCAAAAGTCATGGGACTTAGAGACATCTATACAAAGACAGCTGCAGGAATATGGAGTTCCAGAAATGGTATTAAGTGCCTTTTTTGGGGTAGCCTAGGTGATCCTCAAATAATGTTTAAGCCCACTGGGAAATAATGAGTGATAAATGGAATATGAGGCAGCACTTCAATCTTACCAAGAAGAAATGTTTCTGTTATGCTCATCATTCTCGCTCCTGAGTGTAACTTGGTGCAGTATTTTCTGTGGCAAAACCCAGAACTGGTGCTCAGGTCCTGTGAACTCTGAAATTTCAATATTACTGTTTATCCTTTCTGTTCCCTTTGGTTTGATCAAGAAAAAAAAGTCTTTAAAAAGCCTTTCTGAAGCCTAGGGGGGAAAATCCTCTGTTGGGGCTTGAGATTTCCCACCTGAGGGTAGCTAGATGCCAAAACTCTCTCATGGAGAATGCAGAGGGAATGACACAACGTGGACCCTTCCAGAACCCACTACCAGCATCCCCAAGCACAGAAGGAGAGCTGAATCCACCATCACTTATAGCACAGGGAGCATCTGCCTCCAAACCTACCCTGGGTGCTCCAGCTCTGCACGTTTTTGCAGAAGTTCAAAGAGGTGGGTCCAAAACCCCAAAAGAGGATGCTGGAGAGCGTCCTTCCCTTCACCTGACCCCACGTTGCACGAAGCGTTGCAATTGTCGGGTCTCTCAAAAAAGGAGCCGGTGCTCGGGAAGGGAGGAACAAGGAGCTCCGGGGCGGGTCTTGGGCAGGTGTGGGCGGGCTGAGAAGCATTTGGCAGCCCCGGCAGAGAGAGAAGAGGGGAGGATGCTGCGGAGAATGCGAAGTTTGTGCTGGTTGCTGCTGCTGCCTTTGGTGAGTGTCCGGCGGGATGGAGGCAGGGCGTTGCACATCTGGCTGCTGCCCGCAGCTGGAGGGATCCATCGCTGCACCACGAGCAGTCGTGGGGGGAAATCAAGGTGGGGGGGTTGATCCAGAGGCAGCCTAACTTTTGTTTGAGTGGGGAGTGGACAGAAGGAAAGAGATGTAAGAGAAAGGAGGGGAAAAAAAGGAAAAGAAAAAGCAAGAGGAGGAGGAATAAAGCACATTTGTGAGTAAGGAGGTTAATTTCTGTTGTTATTATTATTATTATAGTTTTCAAACCTTAAAATGTTATCAATACGTCTTTAGGTTCCTGTTGATTAAAAGTGCAGTTTCCAAAGGATAGAAAAGCAATCCTAAATCAGAACAGGTGTAGTATGGCTTCAGAGGGACAGGAAGGGACAGTTTCCTGTCTCCCTTGCCATATGAAAGGCTACTTTGCGGAGGGGGGAGGATAACTAGAAAAGAATACTTTCTCCTGATGGGTATGGCATATTTATCTCTTTGAGAGGGCACTGGTGTTTTTACTCCTGAAGGCAGCTGCTTCTAACCAAGCAGGAGCACGAAGCATCTTGTGTCTGCTGTGTGCTGGAGGCAGCAGGTGAGATTGTAATGTTAAGCATCAGGGAAGATGGATGAGCTGAGGGACATGTACAGAGAGTGTGTACATCCCTCCCTTGCCAGCTGCTGGGGTTGCCTGTGCTGATGAGCCACAGCAGGTGTAGGTGTAAGTACAGTCATATCTCCTCTTCCTTGGCCTCAAAGAGTTGTCTGCAGACCTTCCTGTGTGATTCTTGGGGGCTCATTAATTCTACCTTGAGCCATATTGGAGTTAAATATTTAGCATAGACTGGGATTCAGGCTCCCTCTGTAGTCAGTGAGGAAACCATTACCTTCCCTGGAGGCATTTCATCTTGTCCTGCAAAAGAGAGATGCAGTGAATGCTCCTATAGAGCCTGATTTTTCCTAGTAATGCTAGATGGTCACAGACTGGATTCTGCCCTTCACTTTTAAAAGGTGAAAAGATGCTCATTCTTACCTCCCATCTTCTGGAACACTCACTTTTTCTCTGTATTTACTCAGTTTTATTTGCAAGCGTTATGATGCGGATTCTTGCTACATAAATCTTGTTACCTGTGGTTATTATTCAACCTGAATCATCCTGCTGCTACAGGTAGAGTGCCTTCGGCAGCTGGATGGCCCTTTTTACACATATCATTGGCACAGTGTATTCTTGCAGATGTCTGCAGAGCAGAGCTAACCTGATGTATCACGCACACCTGTGGGCTGCCACGCATTTTAACACTTCAGCATACTGCAGCAGTCAGTTCCCATCATAAATGCCTTATTAGGTGGGGTGAGAGAAGACAAATGCCAGGTTGACAAACTGAATGCTCCATGTAGGCTTTGTGATCGAGTTATTGGTCAGGCATGAACTCTGTCTGGGAAGAGTCAGCCATTGAATTCAGTGGCTTGCACACCTCAGATGTGGGCTAGTGGGAGTTCTGTAGTGGGGAGATCTGTACCCAAAGCCCAGTTGTCAGAGAGGATCAGAGATCCTTGGATATTTGGGGCAAGCAGTTTTATCACGTGTCAAAGGAACACATCAGAGAAGAGAAATAATCATAGTGCAGATTCTCCAAAGAGTTCTTCACTCAGATGTGAAAATAAACCAGAAGGGTAATCCTGAAAACTTCCTCTATGTATCGAGGTACTTCTTGCTCATATCAGCTTCACAGAGATCTGCATGTCACAAGAGCTCCTTTGTGCCTTGGAGAGTAGTCCTTGACATTAAAAATTATCATTTGCTTGTAAGTGACAAGCAACAGAGAGCAGTAGGTGCTGAAATGCATAAAAAGGACTTTTCCTGTCTTAAAGATCTCAGAATCTCAGGGAAAAGACGAGGAGGCACTGAAAAAACACTGCATTCGCCATCCATCCTGCTGAGCTGAACTGCTTTCTTCTCCAAACACTTAGCAGCTTTTCACATTTCTGGGAAAAGGCTTCTGTCTGATTTAATGAGTGGAGGTGAGAATGGAAACAGAGGTGGGTTAGCACTGAGGCAGTAGGCACATAGATCCGAATCCATGGCGAGGAGCTGTGCTCCCAATAAAAGGGAGCTGGGTGCTTAAATTCCTGGCATAGCTACTATTCACTAATTTGAGTTTAAGGGACATGCAATTTTCTTCTAGGATCCAGTGACCTTAACTTCCCCATCCATAGGCAGCTGGAGGGATGGAAGGAGCAGCTCGGGTGTTTTGTTCTGGAGGGGGCTAATGGAGGGAGACGGGTTCTGTATGGTGAGACTGTGTCCTCAAAGAGAGGTAGGAGAAATCCTTCTCTCGAACTGTCTGTCTGCCTTCATTGATTATCAAGGGAAGCTTGAACAAATCATCCAAAATTGTCCATCAAAAACTTGGAATTAATGTCTAAAGCTACTCGTTTTGAGTCTCTTCATACAACTGGGAAAGGGTAGAAAGGCTCAAAGAGCAATAGCTATGGCTTTGGTGGAGTGAGATTCCCAGTTAACTTTAACATCTAGCTTTCAGTTCCTTGGGATTAGGTGATATTATCCCCACCCTTAGGCTAACCCACTTTACACACAGCAACGGAGAAATTTCTCTTTAGTTTAAGCACTGGAAATAGCAGAATGGAAGGATAGTAACATGCTTCTATTCTTTACGTATTGGTAGTAATTAAAGGTCTATCAAATTTATGCTGGTAACGCACTCTCATTTTCATTTTCCTCAAGGTAATACTAATTACATAGAGTTTACAAACAAAATAAGCTATTATATCTGTATTGTCACATACAGAATTACCTGTGAGTGATAGGTACATAACACTAATACACATACACTGACTGTACACAGATATGTATGTATAAAAAACACTGTTCTGCACAAGGCCATGCAGTTAAATACAGTCCCATAAATACAATCCAATACACAGGGGAGCATTCAAGCATTACTCCAATGTCTTAAAAGCAATCTTGAAGAGATGTTCCTCTAACGACTGTAAGGCAATCAGTGTCTCATCTTCTCTTGTTCCATAGGTAATCGAGTTAGAAAGAGGAAACAAACACTGAAAATACCCTCTAGATAGTCATTTTAAGCCAAAAAGACTCCTGCAATAATCTATTTAACTGGCTGAAGAGAAAGATTGGAAATAGGACTTTACCTTTGGGGTTGAAAGTTTTGAGGATCGAGGCTGTGTCAGAACTCTCAAGTTAAGGACAGGATTTTCTATGATAGCCAAACACATTGTTGGTGACATTCCAGTAAAATCAGAAATGGGAAACGGGTTTTGGATATGGTAGAAAAAAAGTGGACACTGGCTGGTTTTTACACTTACATTTAAGCTTTGATGGTAAAAAATTGCAGCTACTTTTTAATAGTTTCTTCCAATTTTCCAATAGAACGGAATTCTGTCTCAAAATGACAGGATTGTTGGGGTTGGAAGGGAGCTCTGGAGATCATCCCATCCAATCCCATTGCTAAAGCAGTTCCCTACAGTAGGATGCACAGGAAAGCAGGTTTTTAATTTACCATGTTATAATACACAGGCATCACTGATAGGTCACAATGGATAGCAAAATCCTCACTGCAGTGATGATGAAGTGGGTACTGAAATGAACAGGAGCTTACGGAGCTGTAGGTTTGCCTCAGCTCCTTTTGGAGTGCATGGGGACATCATCTCTCACTTGGATGTGGCCTGTGGCTGCAGTCTCAGATCAACCCAATTATCATTTGGCTCTTCAAGAAAAGTGTCAGGCAGGTGGAGAGAATCAGGCCTGATGGATGGTTTTGATGAGCTGTATGCAACAGATTGAGAAGTTTATGAAAATGCCTGATGATTTCTTTCACTTCTTCAGTGATTAGAAGCATATTCAAATCTTTTTGTGAGCCGCCTTTCATCCTATGAGCTTATTATATTCATCAACATTTCAACATTGAAGAAAAAAAGTATGCATTTTAGAGCACGTTTTGACTCTCTGAACTGCGTCTTGTACACTACTGGCCAACTTACACAACCATTGTGCAGTTAAAACCAGGCAGGGAATGCAGGATATTTGAACGTGGCTTTCTGTGTCACCAAATACCAGGTAACTTTTAATTTACCCAAGGTGGGAGTCTGTATGATACGAATGACAGATAACTTTGGCTTGAATGTAGGAGAAAATATTCAGGCATCAGAGTTGTATCAGAAAAGCTGAAAAGGAGAAGCACAGATATAGAGAACAGGGAGTACAGAGACAATTTCAGAGGAGATCTGAGAGATGAATGCAAACTGTAGAGACAGAGACCGAAAAAGCAGTGATGAATATTCTTAGTGAAGGATTTATGGACTTGATACATAATCTATTTTTCAGATTTTAGATTTGGACTGCATTAGAAACTAACCAGATCACTAAAAAGACCATTCAGGTTCTTGAAACATTTCTATCTTGTCAAGAAATTCAGATTCCATTTTTTAAATGAATTTTCAAAAAAAGGTGAAGTGTTACCAAATTTCTCCTGGCTCTTTGATCCCACTGAATTGCAGTTTCAGAAGTGACTAATATATTAGTGCCCAGCTTTCCAGCATTTTCCTTATTTTTAGAGAGCATAGAATTCATCCTTATTTTTTCCCACGTGTGATAGTAGACTTTTTAATGACTGAAGATTTGTCTCTTATGTGCCATCTGAATTATGGTTTCTCTACCTCCACAACAGCCTTCAAGCACCATCTTTGGATGGGCTCTCAAAAACGGATGCGTTTAACTGGCAAGAGATTTTGCAAGAGGTTCAGGTTGGATATTTAGGAACAACTTCTTCCCCAAAGAAGTCAGGCATTGGAATGGTGGTGGGGTCACCATCCCTGGAGGTGTTCAAGAAACATTCAGATGTGGTACTAAGGAACATGGTTTAGTGGGCAGTATTGGTGGTAGGTGGACAGTTGGACAAGATGATCTTGAAGATCTTGTCCAACCATAATGATTCTATGATTCTATGCTAATAAAATGTTGCTCAAGAGTAATTACAAATCTAAAATCTGGCTCTATGAACTGTCTCAGATTTTAACATTCCTTATCTTGTCATAAGTAACTTTTTCATGTTCATTTCTGATATTTTTTTTTTTTCCAGGCAAGACTGTTTCAGTGGTTAGAACTCAAATGTAAGACACCCCTGTGAGCTCTGACTGGTTGCTGATGTTCAAGCCAGCTCAGTGGCTCAGCGATGCAAGACCTCATTCCTTTGAGTGCTGCCCACAATGCTGCATGAAACAGCTGAGTTTTCTGTATAAGCCTTCTGGTGAAGACACTCTATAATGGAATTTACAGTAAATTCAAAGCCAGGTTATTGCCTTGCCAGCAGGAAATGATCACCGAAGCACCATTTTAAACCAGCCTCTTTGGCTTATTACCATGGCAATGAAGACTCTATCAGATTAAACATCTTGGCTTTGGCTCCTAAATTACCCCTTTATAAGGTGAAAAAGAGAAACTCTTTTCCTGCAAGAGCTCAGTGGTTATAGAAGGTTTATCCAAAATTGCAGAACTGTGTCCCTGAACTGGCAAAACAAGGAATGCAGGGCCCTTTACTTTCTAGAAAACTCCATCATCTAACCACTGCAGTCACAGTTTAGAGCATCAACAGGCACTTTTATCTTGAGGCCCTGTGAGAATAAGAAAAAAATAAGTAAACCATACCTGACAAATCACAAGTAATGTTCCACCCAGAAGGCTTTTTGCTTTTCTGTAGCTGTAAAATGGTTTAATTTCTTGTGTATGCACCATTTCATCATTTGTCCTTTTTTTTTGTTGTTGTTGTTGGTTTTTTTTTTTTTTTTTTTTTTTGTTCTGTTACTTTCAGTAAGGCTTCAATAGTGTTTCTTGACAACACCATCCTCATTTTTGTTTCTTGTAGAGCAGGCCATAGGTTACCTCTGTAACTGCACTTGATATTGATTTTCTACCACCAGACTATCAGAAATATTTTATCTATGCACTGGCATATAACAAAAACTCTGGTTCTGATAACTGCAGCTACCCTCACCCCAAATCCTATCCCTTAAAATCAAATAAAACATGCGCATGCTAATTAATTGCTAAACCATTGACAGCAGAGGCACTGACTACAATCTCACCAATGGTGAACATCAGCAGTAGTTGTCCAAAAATTTCTGAAATAAATCCTAAAATTATGTTTCCTGATGATTCATCATTGCTGTCAGAGTCAAGACTACGTGGTCCAGGGATCTGTTCTGCTACAGTAATTCCTCTGTCATGTCTAAAACCAATACACAACTTCCCTATAGGTAGAGCACAGTCTTCTGCGACCACTGCAAATTATTTTCACTCCACTCACTACAGTGCAGCTCTGAGTTATGGTGACTTAGGGACTGGTTTAGCAGGTGTGGATTTACCAAAAGAAGAAAAAAAGGAGATACAGCCTCCTCCTTTAGGCAGCAGGCATTCTGGCACACATGTTCCCCATTTGACAATGCATTTGGGAGAGCACAATTGCTCTGTTCCTCATTATGAGTTCCACCTGTGAGCATTGTGTGTGTTGCTTAAGTTGGCCTTTGGAAAAAGGTATCTTTTCCCCCTTTGAGACTTTTTATTAGTAATTATTTGTCTGCTTTTACTATTCCCTACACTTCTGGCATGAAGAGGAATGTTAAGTTAACCCATCTGCCCCCAAATGCTTTTCTCTCAAAAGCATTTTGATTCTCCGTTCTTGGTTTTGATTTCATTTTTGTGCTCTGGCTTTTCAAGTCTTTTGCCAGAGGACTCAATATTATAGATATTGTAACTTTCAAACATCAATCCTAAGAATAATCCATAAAAAAAATTCTCATTAACAGCAGCAGGATCTAGGAATTTCAGAAAATGAAATAATGACTTGCTTTCTGTCTGCCTGACTCCATTCCTATAAGCAGAAGTAATGGATTTATGTAGCAATTATTTTCTTACTATTACTCAGACTTTTTGTTTGTTATGTAGACAACTGAAATGCATTTTAAATGGTAAAGTGATAAATGGGACTCGGATTAAATCTGAAAAATTACATTTCAGAGTTGTGTTACTACAGTAGAAAAGCACGAGGTACTATTTTAAGAATAACTTATGCTGATTTATAAAATGTATTTCAAATTACTGCTGGAGGGATATTATGCCTGAAAAAAAGCAATGCCTTAAATTTCTTTTCATACAGTGTCCTTAATCCTCTTTCTGTTCTAATATTAGGATGTATGAACCATTTCTAGAGACCCATAATTAAATGTGCTTTGTCCATGCTACTTTAAAACCCAAATGTAGGCACAATTTTTGAAGGTTTTTGGAGACAAATTTGTGTTCCTACTTTTTTATTCCTTTAGGCAGATAATCTTGTAAAAAAAAGTCTACATGGCTTCCAGTACCACCACTGACTGAAAACATTCTGAAAGCCAATAAATCAACTTCCAGTGACTGAAAAGGCAATAAAGCAGCAATGTTTTCATCTGCGCTGTGTTTTCAAAGTCATTAGAGGTTTAGAATGGCCTACAGTCTTTCTCAGAAATCCTTCAATCCATCATTTCAATTAAAATCAGTGCTCTCAAAGCCTTTGGCTTTATTTTGAATAGCTGGCATTAGAGCTGCACTATTCCATGATTCCATGTCATGAAGATCCCACTATAGCCAGTGAAGACTCTGGTGATCTATTCATTTGTCTGAACATAGCTGATGTGCTTTCTAGGCTCTCTTGACTCTGATGACTTTGATTCACTTGCTTAAACATGCATGCACAGAACTATTTAAGACAACCCAGACAGAGTGCTTGAAATTTTTAATAGGTCTGGCAAAATTAACACAGGGCTTACACAAGTGTATGGGAACTGTTGGTCATGGCCTGAACCTCCTATTGACCACCTGAGGCAACCAATGAGTCAGCCCTGGGAGCACAGGTGAAGGCAATTCACCTGTGCTATCAGAAGGGGTGGAGCCTGGCTCCACCTCTCCTAGATCCCATTTAAGAGCTGATTACCATCAGATTGCTCCCTGTGGAGTTTACTGTGAGCCTATGACACCAGTGAGCATTTATTTAGATCATCTTTCTATCTTGATAATCTTACTAAGCCTAACCTTTGTACGCCTACTGATTGTACAACAAAAGTTTTGGGATAACCTATGTTACCCCGAATGTCATTGATCCTCCCTGGATAAGTGAAACATCCCATGGATTTCTACTGACTGCAAAAGAAGCTTGAGTAACAAAGTTACACATGGGCACCAGCAATATAGAATTTCTCAGTTTAATAGCTCCTGAAGAAGTACCTGCCATCATTATCAGATGTTCTAGTCTACTGAGAGCATCTTCACAATGAGAGCAGACATGATGCAGGTCTACAGAGGACCTGAAAGTTTTCAGAGTAGGAGAGGGAGGCTAAGCAAAGTATTTGAGAGTGCCTGAATGACATTAAGTATCTGTACATAAGAAATTGACCCAGTTAGCAGTGCTGGTTGATGACTGGAAATCTACTTAGCTGATCAAATGTAGGTATCTTTATCTGAGAAATAATGTAATTCCTTCAACTCCAAAAGGAAGTAACTCTTTTTTGTTTTTTTTTTCTCTTCCTCATCTGATGAAATGGCAGTAGTACCTCTGTGCACATCCTCAGGAAGTATGGTGACAAAATCATGTAATCATTCAGTTCCATCTATGATCAAGTGTTTTTTTTTTTCTGATTTCTGTAAATACTTGGGCTTTACTTTTGTTTATTGAAGTGCAAATGAGCACTTAAGTTTTGTGAAAAACACAGATATAAGGAGGATCTAGTATAACTAGATCAATTTCAAGAAAAGGTGTTTACATAAACGGTGCTACCATGGAAAATCCCAGCAGGGATGCTTACCTGCACATGTATATAAACTGATATATATTCAGGATCAGAGCCTCCTTTTCCTCTCTGTCCATCTTTCTGCCATTTACGTGTCCTGTTTGCAGAAAAATCTTCAGCTTGAGTCTGCAAAATATTTTACCTTAAATTACAAACCCTAAGTTACAAACTGGAAAGAAATCCTGCTCTGTTTGTTCTGGTAATCACTGGAATTCCTGGTTGTTTTGTCTTTGTCTCATTGAGGTTGTGGGAATCCATCCAGAATGCAAGATATTCCAGCAGGTGGTGAAAGAAGAAGCACTCTGCTTAGAAAGGAACGAATCTGTTTCACCTGATCTTAAAGGTAATGGTCTTGATGGCCAAGATCTGATATTAATATGAATTGTATCACTTCTGATGTGTGGTGTGAAGATATCAGCTGTTCTTTTGGGTCACAATTTGATCTACATTCCTATCCTATGAAGTGCTTCTCCTGTTGGCTGGAGCTTTACCCCATCAGCTTTTAGGCATCTTTAAAAGCTCAATGTCTAAGTCAGGATATGTCTTCTCAGATTCACTTACAGTCAGTGGAGGAAGGTAGATGTCCATAGAAAATTTTTCATTGCTTCTGGCTTAGATGCTTATTTTAGGATGTGATGAATCATTCTTTACAGTCATATTTCTCTTTACTATCTACAGGATGAGACTAAGATGATTAGTTCGTACTCTGAAAAATTTAGATGCATAGTTTGGGTAGGAAAATCATACTTGGATTATTTTTAAAAAAAGACATTGAAATAGAAGAAGCTTACAGAGAATATAGTTTGAGCATGGTTTTTAGTATATTATGTTGAAAATCATTTAAATTTTGGTGAAAATTTTATTTGCTAGAAGGAAACAAAACAAATACAATCCCAATTTCTTCAAAATATTGTGGGTTTTTTTTTTTTTGTTGTTTGTTTGTTTGTTTGTTTTTGAGATTAGGTTGGACTGGATGATCATGGAGGTCTTTTCCAACCTTGGTGATTCCACGATTCTGTTTTTTTTCTGTAGCCTATCCAATTGCTTTGGTACCTGGCATTCTTCTAGTTCTCATCAATTTTATCTTATTGTTATTTTCCTCTCACTCCTTCACCCCCTTTCATCAAGTCCAGAATACTTCCTGGATTCTGTGCTGGGAACGCCTACTAAAAGTCCCCCCCAAAACTCTGGTAGAAACCAGGCATCTTCCACCATGATTTGTTGAACACTTTTTCCTCTTTGAAAGCTAGAGAACAATATTCCAAGTATTTTTTTCTTCAACAGAAAGATAATTGCATGATTCTGGAATCTTCTTTGTAGTAAAAGCCACTAAAAGAAATACAGTTCCCTCAAATCCCCGTTAAACTATTTAAAATTCTTGAATCTTTCCAAGTGTGATTTTTTTTTTTTCCTAGTGATTCCTTTCCACATGAATTCTCTAGAGATGTAAAGAATTTAACAAAAATCTCTTTTGCTTTTTTATACCCTTTCTCAGAATAGTTTGAAATGAAATGTGAGACCAGGAAAAACAGTTCATGCTCAACGTTGTACCTATGGTACTTATGTCATTGGGAGAAGTCCCTGACTTGTTTCTCAGTTTTCAGGAAATAAACTGAAAGATCACAAATCATACAGAGTTACTTCCTAGCAGAAGGGAATCAGAGGTGGGATTCATCTACATTGCAGAGGTTTTAATCTGAAGTTGTTACCCATTTTTCTCGTTGTACACAGCAATGTCTAATGAGTTTCATCAGTAGACCCAGGATATAATTCCTCTCTTGTTGAAGTATGTGGGTAAAACAGGTCAGTTGAATCAAGCTCTAAAAAAGCAAATTGCACCCTAAAAATGTCTACTCTTCTCTGCTGTCTAAAAAGGAAAGAATGACTGAAGCAGTCTTAAATATTAATGATGTCAACATTATTGATGTGATTGCTACTACAGTTGTCTATATGGAGTCTCAGGTGACTGCCATTCATTAGTCTTTTGAAAGCCTCAGCATGCAAAGTGTTCTCTGCATTCTGTGGCCTAGCCATCAGTTTTAAGTCACTGGAAATAGAGCCCAATTTGAGACTGAAAACATCCCAGTTCCGTTCCCAAACAAGGATCTGTTGCTTAATCCCACATTATTAAATAGGCTACATTTTTATCCTAGAGCTCCTTCATGATTTTTGAATGCTTTTTAGAGGGACCCTTTTTCTCCTAAGACGTGTGGACCACTGCTTGTCTATATGGAGCTCAGCTTACCTAACTTTGTTCATTTGCAAATTAGCAGCCTAGCCTATAATCACCAGAGAGACCTGAGTACATGCAGTGAGTGATTCATCCTGTCCTCAGAAGGGAGTCACCAGTATGTGGGATGAATCATCCACTGGAAGTCCCTGTCTCTTTACACTGATTGCAGGGGGAAAATGGCTAAGTTTAGCTAATGTATTTGAGACAATTAAAATTAGAGATAATGAATTGGGGCTTCTATTTTCCCATTTGGCAAATTGGGGATAGCAGGAATTTCATCCTCAAGAGGGTGGTGTGAGGATAACTTAGTGAGAGATTCTCAGGACTCTCCTTTCTGAAGCCAAAGAGGAACTTTGCTTTGCTACAGGCAAGTAATATTGCTTCCACATTTCAGCTCCTGACAATTTTAGATTTGCCTTCTCATCAGTCACAGAGGAAACAAAAGAATCGGTGAAAGAAAATAACACCTCCCAAATAAAACTTGTGCACTGTTTTATATCTGCCTTATAACTGCCTGGAGATTAGTTTCTGCTACAGCATGATGCTGGCTTTTATTTTTTTAAATTGTTTTGGGCACCTTTACGTAGTTGGTAATTTCTCTGTGCTGCACCCACACCTGCTTGACAAAAGCCACTGCATGACAGCAGCTGGAGTCTCAATGTGAGGCATCAGTGATAAAGCCATGATTAACCGTAACTTCTGATAGCACTTTTTATTGGACACGTGGTGCTGTATCTTCAGTCAGCCACCTCTGGTATGGAGAACCCACGACTAAGAACCAGGCAGGTCTGCTCCTAATGATGGTTGTTTCAGAAGATGCTCAGAGAAGTTCTCTTGCTTTGGGATGGATCTAATGCCTGTTGAAGTCCACTGCCAAAATGTTGGCTGACTAATGGCTGGATTTCAGCCTCTATGGGTTTTTCTTTTAAGTCAGTTGAAATGGGTAGACTTTAGATGTGAAATCAAGAAGTTAATGTTGGATTTTTCAATTATTTTCATCTAGACTCTGAAACCATTAATGAAAAATCTCAAGAGCTAGTAATTATTCCATATTTTTATTTTATTACTTCCATTTTGTTTTGTTTTGAAAATAGAAACAGCTGCAGTTGATTTGACTTTCAGATTGTGTCTGCTTGAATTTCATGTACATTCTTTCCAAAAAGAAGGTAGAAGTGCACTTGTGAAGGATGATACACTCAAGAAGAAGAGGAAAGCAATACAATCCTTCATTTGTAGAGCTTTGTGGCCTCTTGTGACTCTTCTTCATGCATACGTATAAGTGGGAAAGCCACAGACAATCTCATTATGGCAAATCAACTCTATGTAATTCCTTTACTTAGAATCATTTTTTTTTTTTCTTTCCAGGATGTGCCAGAGATTGGGATGGTCTAAGTTGTTGGCCCAGAGCTGCCGTGGGGGAAATAGTTAAAATTCCTTGTCCAAGATTTTTTGAAGAAATCACCAATATCCATGGCAAGACTTTTTTCATATTATTATTATCCCTACATGCTTTAAAAATAAAATCTAGTACTTACAGATTCAGTAACTTCCACGTTTTCATGATTCACAAAGCCATCCAATGTCAGCCAACGCAGGGTAATGATGCACATACACATCTTGGTTTATGGTGGATATTCAATACTTTTTTGTTTCGTGTGCAGTACTGAATTACCTAGTCTCCTTGATCTAAAAACTATGGGTAATTGCACTAGATTGCTGAGGTTATTATAATGGAATACATCATAGAATCACTGACTTATGAAGTCATGAAAAATTAAGTTTAGAGTCAGAGCAGGATCAAGTTCAAGAATTATATCTAACTTCAAAGCTAGATCAAGTGGCTCAGGGCTTTTTTTATGCACATAAATTATGTTGTGAATGCAGGATAGATTTAATAATTTGATTTCCTCTGTGTGAAGATTGAATTTACAGAAAGAACGTCTATATTACCTAAATGAAATTCTACTTCTTGAAATGAACGGGAATATCCGTGTTAATTTTCAAAGAATAAACGTTCAGATTATTTACTGTGTATGGCTAGTTGTACTTAACATGACTAAATTGGCAAGGACCAAACTTAAGAATCAAAATCATTTCTTGTCAAAATATAAAAATAATTAACAGCAGAAAACGAACAAACAAAACCCAGTGTAACATCCCCATCCTCTAATTAATTCTCTGATATCTTTTGCCATTAAAGGCTTCCTTCAGAGAAACTGCACAAAGGAGGCATATTGGTCAGAACCATTCCCATCATATGCTGTTGCCTGTGGATTTGATGAAGGTTCCAGCAAAGGTCCTGAGGATCAGGTGGGTTTTTATTTCCTGTTTGTGGACGTCTCTAAAACACACTCTCTTGCTTATGCTGAGTAGACAGATATTTCCACATATCTGAGCCCCATCAGAATTCAGAAATGAATTCAGTGTTAAGTTCAAACCTATTAAGTAACAAATTAGGCTTAATATAAGGCACTCTATCCTTTGTTTCTCTTGGTGTTACTCAATAGATTTGTGGCTAGATCACCTGTCCTGTCCATTAGAATTTGTTTCTCTGAGCGATAGGATTTGAATCCACATCATCTTTCAAGGAAGACTTACCAACCTGCCATAGGAAACCACTGAGTGTAGTTCCAGTGCTTTGCACTGCATTGGTGGTGGTAGTTCTTCAGTGGATGAGCTTTGCTTTGTGGCTGAAGGGTATTGATTTCTAAAGCCATGGTCACTGCCTCTGTCTCGTGAGTTCGGATCTTTGCTAAATGGAACACGAGAGAACAGGGTGGACTCCCACTCCTTGTACCCATTCTGCATTGGGCAAGGCTCCTACATCTCATACAAATGCACTAGACCCTGTATCATAACAGCTCACTCCTCTTGCTGTGGTATTTTGATAGAAGCAATGGGCATCTCTCCAGTCTGGGAAAGAAAAGACTAATTTATCCTTGGGCATGGTCAGAGTCCTGACTCCACAGTGGAAAAAGGTGATTAGCCACGGATCAAATCAAGACAAGAGGTTGAATAGGACTGTCTTCATTAATACTCCAGCTTTTTTTGTTTTCTGGTGTAAGCCATTAATTTGGCTCTTAAGGAGTAATTGCTTAAACACAGAAGTAATAGTTCTATTATCTGAATCTTTAGAGAGTCTAGACATAGATGGATTCATCCATTAGTTTCCATAAAATTGGGAACAGAAGCATGGTTGTAATAGGTAGTAGAAATATCTGGAGCAAAATTCCCCAAATGTAAACCAAAAAATATTTATATTTCTCTGCTATGTGGAGAAGCTGAAAAGAAAAACGCTTAAAAAATTCTTCAAGTTTGTTATCTCAGTCATACCCTGAAGGTCCATGAAGAGAAGACAAGATCAAAAAGCTCTACTGTTCTGTAAACAGAAGGAAGCAGGTGATAAGAACCCCACTTATGTTCTATGAGGATTACTTGTTTTATATTTTTTATCTTCAGTGAAGCATCTTTTGTATACAGCATTGATTTTTATCTACCCTAGAAGAATATATAAAGCACATAAAAACACTTCCTTATTCAGCTGAAGAAGCTGTTTTCTAATTTGAGCCTTTGTTTTGAAAATACCATATAAAACATTAGCAGCATTTCAGAAACACCAGGATGATTCCTACGTTGTCAGGGCTACCTGATTTATTTATGGATCCACTTAAAATTGCTAATATATTGCCTCAACCTAGAAATGCTGTCTTTGGAGAAACAGATTGGATCAATTAGAGAACAAAGTGTCCACTGCATTTCCAAGGAGGAAAATTCAGAAACCTGTTTTCTTGGGATTCTGAATAATCAAGGGATCCTGTAGTAAATTAGAATAAAATGTGCATTTTGCCATTGGATGAACTACTTGTCCAAGGAATTAAAGATAGTGAGGTTACTTTCATGGCTTTAATTTTCTCACTTTCACGGCGCCATGAGAATTTTTCACAGAGTTCTGGTTTCCTCACCTTGCTACATGCAAGTTATATTCCTTTTTTTAACCATAGCTCAAATCAGCATGAAACATCCCTTGGCCTAAAAGGAGTACAGTATGGCTCTCATGTAAGTGTGCTGATTCACAAATCACCCAACAGCAAGTTATGCATCCTTAAATCCACACATACCTACAGGATAAATTGTACTTATGTAACAAAATTAGCATGCTCCAACTATTTTATGGTGACTATTTTGAATGCACTGATGGGCTGTGAAACCTGGCTCACATGTATGAGGGCTTCAAATTTAAAAAAAATAATAATAATAAATAATCAAAAGCATGTTAGTGATGGAGGGAGAAACCTAAATCAGGTCTTTAATATCTAAAGCAATATGTAAGGGATGGGACTGACCAGTGAGGGAAATTGTATCTTATTGAAGCACACCAGTATGCATGCTGCATAACCACCAGCATCAGTGTGTGTTCTCTTTTTCTCATAGAAATCATATTATTCTGCATTTTGGCGTGTCTACACTGCTGGCTATGCAGCATCAGTGACTTCACTCATTACAGCTCTAATTGTCTTTGCTGCCTTCAGGTAATAATAATTGGTCTCTTTTCAGGATGTCTGTAGACAGCCTCATCCTAATTCCTTTCAAACTATCTGTGTTTTTGTTTTTACCTATTTTCAAACCTTTCTCAGATGTTATACTGTCAATGGCAATGAGTTCTTCTATATTCATGTGGTGTCATTTCCCCCCAGGAGCTACAACACTAAAGCTGGCTGGACAGTTTGTCCTGGTCTCTTTAATTGTACCATACAGTAGAAATGCTCCAAGCTGTTTTTGCTATTAACATAAATATTTCTCCAGTGCATAGCAGGACAAACCATACAGAAACCGAGTATGCCTCACTTCCTAAACCTGTAATCATTATAAGCTGCTCATTCCTTCTGTGAAAGACATTATCAGGAGCAACGGAGAGAAGTTTAAAGACATTTTTATGTCATGTTTGATAATGTTAGATATTGGGAAATTAATCCTGCTTTTGATTGGCTTCAATGCACCTGGACAAAAGCCTTAAGCTTGATCTCCAGGCAAGAGCACAGACAACAGAAGCAATTTCCTAGATGGAGTGGGCAGTCTCTCTCTGTTACAGAGAGGCCCAGGTATAGAGGTTGATATATCCAAATCTTGAAGGAGATTCCTTCATCTTCATCTCAAGTTTAGACTGTGGGCAGGACCATGGGACTGTGGGTAGGGGAAATTGAATCTGGAAAGTGTCTGAAGTCATCCTGTATTCCTGTTTGAGTTTTGATGAGACCATGAGAAATTTCTCTTGAAAAACAATTTTCCTTTTCTTTCTCCATGTCAGAAAGTTCCATTGTACACGGAATTACATCCATATGCACCTGTTTGTCTCCTTTATCCTGAGAGCAATTGCTGTTTTCACCAAAGATGCTGTTTTGTTTGCAGATGAAACTATGGACCACTGCCTGATGTCAACGGTACTAAATTTCTGCTCTTGAGTTAATATTTAATTTGTGATTCAAAGAGAACGTAGATGTTTCTTAATCCCATTTCCCTTCAGTTTGCAAGAACTGTAATCTTAAAACAAGCAGTATCACAAGCCATGAGATCAAGTGCTATGGGTTACATTCAGCTGTAGTATATAATGCACAACCTCGTTGAGTCTAATGGAGCAGTATCCATTTCTATCATATAATCATATATATAATCAGATATTCTGTTTTATTCAAACTTCTGAAACCTTGTATTAAATTCCTCAGTTTCTGTTTGGCAAAATTCAGTTTTGCTTATACTTGTTGAGAACCAAAACCCAATGGAGAGTACATCTAATAATTTTTTTTCTTCCTTCCCATTTCCAGGTAGCTTGTAAGGCTGCAGTGACATTCTTCCAGTTCAGTATTTTAGCCAATTTCTTCTGGCTTCTTATTGAAGGAATATACCTTCAGACACTTCTTTTGCTGACCTTTGTTTCGGACAAGCAATACGTATGGTGGTTCATCTTTGCTGGCTGGGGTTTGTACTGTTTTCCACTTTGTGTTGTTTACTATTTCTACTTACTTTTAGAACTAAATAAAAACATCCTGAGGTTTTCTCCGATAATTTCATTTGAAGAAAGGTACCTTTTCATGCAGGGGCACCACATTAAAACCATACCATTATCCATATTTCTTACCTTGTTAGATATTTTGCCATTTAAAACTTTGAAGAAGGTAGAATGGATCATTTGAGTAGGAATATCCTAATGCTTCTAAAGACTGCTGCGCTCCTCTTTATGACTGGAATTAATTTCATGCAACTAAAGTCATTATAAGTTAATAATCTAACTCTAAGCTATCTCTCCAGGTTTCTCCTGTAGTCAGTAGGGTGAGGTAGGCATGCTGTGGTGGTGATTAATCCGTTCCTCAAGCAGATGACTAATGTGCCTGGATACATCTTGTCTAGCTGCACTGACTGAAGAAGTTTGAATGACCAACTTTAAGTTGACACTTTGCCTTTATGAGGCAGAAAGAGATTAATCTGAGATTGCACAAGGTCAGATCTAGGAATCAATAATTCTTTCTTTCTTTATTTTTTTTCAGAAACATTTTCTGTCTTTAAGGAATCTTTTGAGTGTATACATAAATTTGAAACATCCCCCAGTATCAGAATAGGTGCATTTAATGCACACAATTTCAGTGCAGATAATTGTTTACTGCAACTCTTATCTTCTTGCACCTCACTTCAGCCATTCTAAAATAGAGACACTTAAACAGAGAGATTACGGAGCATTTTTATTTTGAGAGTGAAATCCAAATTCTCACAAGTTACGCTATAATTTTCCCTTTTTCTCCAGATTCTCAGACTTTATTTGACTTCATTAGAAAGAAAACAACTCAATTTTATAAAAGGGATATTAATTTGGAGCTACTCAAATTATGATTGCCAGAAACTAAACACTTAGGTCCTGATTAATAACAGCTAACATGAAATAACAAAGAAACACCTCAATTAATACTGCAGCAATGCTCATGTCCTATAATCCATCAAAAGTAAGAAATGTCTCGGGACAACTCAGGTCTTAGGTATTATGAATACAAATATTTCTCTTTGTTAATTAAAATGTCAGTTCTGAATATTTAAAACTATGTTTTGAAATTGCGGTTCCACGACACCCCCTATTCTCTTTTATTTTAGTTTCATGCTGCTATTCTACATGGATTATTTTTTTTCTCTGAACTGAGAGTTAAGTTTTCTGTAATTTGACTTGCCCATTGTCTGTGTTTCAATGGGGCATCCAATCTGCTGCACTGTGAACATTCTTTCAATAAAGTTTCCATAGAACACAGCATTAAAAAAATATGTTTTTTCCATGTTGATTTGCCCAGGAGCTCCCACTGCTGTGATGCTTACTTGGCTCCTCACAAGACTCCATCAACAAAACACAGGGTAAGTCAGTGTTTGAGTAAGGAAGCCAAGGTCATCTAAATTTATAATGTATTTTGATTTACTAGCAGGTAAAAAAAAAAATAGAAGTTAATAACGGATAAACAAGAATATTGTTCCAAAGGTGTGCCTCTAATCTTTAAACTTCACAAGAACATGAGAAAATAGTTTTCAAACCTCTAATTTTGATGTACATATATATTGAGTAATTAAAACTGGAAGTGCCATAGCAAGAGTTGAAATCATGTTTTGTTTCCCAATGCTCAATCCTTGAAATAACTGCACTTTAAGAAAATCAGTGCTTCTGTTTTAAAACAGCCATGAATTTCTAGCGTTAACCTTTTCAAACCTGCACCTCCCAAAGACACTGTCACATCTTTATAGGTAGTTTTGTGTGTTATTTTCCTTCGGTTCTTTTTCATTGTTATTTTTTGTCTTTGAACATGAATGCCAATTATAAACAGTGGACTGTTTACAAAGAGCTGCCCTGAAGGCCCTCATGTCATTTCATATGGATGATAAGTTGGAAGAGATACTATTTCATATCTACCTTGTCAGGACTCGATTTAGTGATGCAGAAATAATAAGTCCTATAGTCCACACTCTGTATTTTGCTCTCATCTAATTACTGCAGTGTGTCTGCAGTAGATGTTCTCCACTGTAATACTTCATAAGTCGTCATCCTTTCCACTGTATGTGCACGGAAAGGTGTGAGGAGGATTTCATTTTTCCTCCTTTCCTGTTGCTCCTCTTCCAAAGAATCACAGAATCACAGAATCACAGAATTGTAGGGGTTGGAAGGGACCTCCTGAGATCATCGAGTCCAACCCCCCTGCCAAAGCAGGTTCCCTACACCAGGTAGCACAGATGACCAGACTGCTGGGTTTATTTGTTGAATCTGTAGCAGAAGAGCCTGGCGCAATTGCAAAGGCATTATAAATAAAGCTCAGAAGGAAATTGGAGGGTGTGAACAAGAGCTCTGACAAGTTCTCACAGTTGAAGAGCCCACGGAGACTGTGGATGCCCCATCCCTGCAGGCATTCAAGGCCAGGCTGGATGTGGCTCTGGGCAGCCTGGTCTGCTGGTTGGTGATCTTGCACATAGCAGGGGGTTGGAACTGGATGAGCATTGTTGTCCTTTGAAACCCAGGACATTCTGTGATTCTATGAAGAGGAGACTGGAGAGCACTGGAACTTTGAGTGCTCTTCCAGCAAAGCCACTACCCACACTATCTTCTTCTCTAGTATACTTGTATGTCCATTATAAAAAAGAGATTAGTAACATCCTGTTACACTGCAAAGGCTGTGTAGTGGAATAGCTCCAATGAAGACATTTATAGAGCTGGAACATTTTTATTGCAGACACCGTCATTCATTTGGTTGCTCCTCTGATATCAGATGTAGTTTCAAACCACAGTATCAGAACCATTCTTTTCTTATCCAACAGCTAATTCACAGGCCTAACAATCTGAACTTACATTAATGATGCTCATTACACTCAGACATGCTGGTTAAGCTATCATCTGTAAGCTCCAACGTTATTCAGCTCACTATCCTGTGTCACAAAAAAGAGAAAAGAAAAAAGAAGGAATAAATTTCCTTCAAATTGGGCTGCACGTAAATTTTCTGGGAGGTATCAGGGAAAGAATACTGGTAGAGGTCTTGGAGTTATCATTTAAAACCGCATCCATCACTTTCCTAATCAGTGTCAGAAATAGTTCTGTATGTTGTGAGAAGTTCAAATGGTGCACATAACATTATTGCTTTTGTTTGCCTTTTCAGATGTTGGGATGATGATGAAAATGGAGTGGTGTTATGGATCATCAAGGGCCCCATTCTGTTAACTGTACTGGTATGTTTCTGCATTTTTTTCTTCAGTATGTTCTGAAATCCTACAGCTATGCTAGTGTTTCTTTCCCATGAAGTGGAAAAAAGCAATGCCATATGCCATACTTGACTTTTTTTGAATGTCAAGGAGTTGGAAATTATAGTGTTGGTTGCTTTTTTTTTTTTTTCTTAACCAAAAATCCTAAATCACAACTGATATCACACATTTTCTGGAGTCATCCTAGGGCATTGCAGAACCACTTTGACACATCCATTTCACATACCATGTTCTTGCCTGCGTCTCTGTGTTCTATTTCTGAAGGATGTCCATATTGGCATAGATACCTCATAGATAATAGGAAACTGATTTAATTCAAGAAATTTCTCCAGATCATTTTATCTAGTGTATTTTTACAATGAATTCTTATGATGTAAACTCAAGACAAAAATTGTCTTGTGTGCAAGTTCATTCCATCTAAATTTAGGAAGAAAATAGTATGTCATTTAAGACTGTGTCTATTATAATCTGTGTTATAATTAATGAAGGAAACTGGAGGGACTACTTAAACTAAAGAATCTTCTAAGACTCGACAATAAATGCAATGAGATAACATCAGACACACAGCAATACTGAGATTTGTATACTTGACTCATCCAGCAAAATTTTGATCATATCTTTATACATAGCTATATATTGGTGGGAGAAAGTAATATTATTTCTAATGATACTGATATGATCTGAGAGCAAATGTCCACTGTTTATATATTTCCTATTAGTAAAGATTTTTAGTTAATTTATATCAATTGAAGATACTTCCTGACTTGTAGTAAATTTACATATTCTGTCTTGCCTTTTCAGGTTAACTTCATTATATTTATTAATGTCATCAGAATTCTAGTCCATAAATTGAAATCTCAAGAGGGAGGGGGGAGCAATTCAAGCCACTTTGTGTAAGTATTGTAGGCTCTATTGAAATTTACCCATTTTAGCTGCCCTAAGATATTGTTTTAAAGGCAAGGAAACAAATAGGTTACAATAAAGAAAGAGAAGTCCTCAGAAGAAATAGTAAACTAAACTTGTCTTTTTATCCCAAATGTCACAAGTTTCTTCTTTGGGAGGAGGCAGGAAGCTGGGAGGCATGGGAGGGGGTGGAGGGTGAGAAGAGAAGTCTAATGCAATGTACTACAGATGCAAAAAGATCCAACTTGTAATGAGTAAATATATTCAGGTAATGCATCCATCTTGCTTGACATTTCCACACAGACAGGGAAAGAAGCAGATAATTTTCATTAAATCCTAAACATTAACACGCTATTAGTCTATTAATGACTGAATGTAGTCTGCCTTGTTTACTAACCCCTTTAAAATCAATGTGGATCTCAGTGATGCAGTCAGAGGACTAGCATCCTGTACTAGCAAGATATTTGATTCTTCCCAAGATGTCTTTTAGTTACAGCGCAAGACTGTGCCCTTCTGGAATGATCTGAACATCAAGCAGAAAGCCCTAGGGCATTGTTCATAGTTCTAGCATCAATGCTTAAGCAACAGATTCAAGTCTTGTGGACAGTAATAATCAGATCATCCTTGGCAGTTGTGGAAGTTTAGGCGTTTACATGGTAGAAACCTTCAAGGGATTGAGACTGGTCTCAAAAGAGTAGATTAGAATGCCCTGTTTGGTGCCTCAGCAGTTGTATGCATAGCATGGAGAAGAACACATAAGGATCATTCTGAAATACTTACATGCTGACTTGTTCATCTTTGCTGGCCAGATGCTGACAGTGGGAGTGCCAGAAAGCAATCTTTCCACAACTTCGTTGGATATAGTTGCATCCATTCTGAGCTACAGTAAAATTTGTTCCAACAAAACTGTTGTCACTAATTTCACATATGTAAAAATGCCTTGTTCTTTGATCCTTGACTTGCCAGGAGACTTGCTAAATCTACATTGCTCTTGATCCCACTCTTTGGAGTGCACTACATCGTGTTTGCATTTTTCCCAGAGAGCACTGGTTTGGAAGCTCGACTTTACATTGAGCTAGGCTTGGGTTCCTTTCAGGTAAGCAGAACAAAAAGTTTATGAGTCCTGAGAGGTTTGAGCTGAAGCACCACACTATTTCATTATTTAGGTTGACTATCAGAGTAGGTGTTAATAATGTGTCTAAATTCAGCGCACACATTCCATCTCACTCTCAAACAAGCTCTTTATGTTGTTTGCTCCCCTATCTTATTATTTAAAATCTCACAGTACTTCTTAGTTCTGACTCATTCTTCATATCATAAAAGGATGTACCTACATTTATGGAATAACAGTGATTGAGTGCCACGAAGATCAGCCTGTGGATTAAGGAGGACTAAATGAAAATAATTCCACATGTAACAAAGAGGATGATAAGAGAACTGAAGACATAATGATAATATATAGCAATCTATTCTGCTCTTACCCTTCATCAGTAGCGAGTCCATCATCTGAACACGTCCCTGTTTCCTTTTCCATGTTGGACTCTGTTTGGAAAAATATCTGTTGGCCTAAGCCAAATCTGTGCCATGGACCACATTAATAATTTACCAAATCAGTAATTTAACAGTGCTCAGGACTGTGACTACCAGTGCTAGCACAGTCTGCAGAATGGTTTGGATGTGGGCTGGCTAACATTAATAATATTATAAATATTCTGGATTCTGCTGAGACATTGAATCCAGATAAGAAAACCCAGTAAATATTGCCATGTCACCTAAATTGGAACAACAAAAATATATACTGTTGCTGTCTTACTCAAATTTTGAATAAAAGATGATGTTTTTCCCTGTGTCCGTGCTCCAAATCACAATGGTTAATTTTTTTTCTCTATTCTCCCTGTCCTAGGGCTTTTTTGTTGCACTTCTATACTGCTTCTCAAATGCGGAGGTGAGTAGCAAGTATATGAGATTATCAAAACCTCTGAAAATAATGGATATCTCTTATTTTTGGGTTTTTTTTTTTCTGATTCTATAATGGATCTGTGCCTTGATCTGTTCCCGAATGCAGAAGTACCCAAAACTCTTTTTCCCTTAGCTGCTTTTTTGATTCTAATTGTATTCAAATAATTCTGGAAGAAGGACAGCTGGATCAGCTATGAAGCACTGACCCTTTACAAATGGTTGGTGACTTTCCTGTCGAGAGACATTTGCTCTGCTTTACCTCTGATAGTTATCACAGGATTTCAATGGAAAGCCTATAACACTGTATTTTCTTCAGGTTTATTTTCTCCCACAAGTTTATTTCCCTTCAATTTTCCAGTAAATAAGCAATGGCCAATAGTAACTCCCCTGTATTCTTCTGAATTTTGGAAACTGTTTATTTTTCAGTGTGAACTTGGATGTACTTTCAGTCCTTCTAAAACTGCATGAAGGCTTAATCTTGATTGATTTGAGTGCCTTATAGCCGTGCTATAAAATATTGGTATATTTTATTTTCATTGCTCACTCTGTCTTTATTTTCTGATTATTTGTTTTTAAATTCCTTCCCTGTAGGTTCAAAGTGAACTCAAGAAGCAGCTGTGCAAATGGCGGTATCAAGAATACCTGAGCTTCACACACAAACATGGGACTGTGTCCAAAGAAAACAGTCCAGTCAACTATGTCACTCAGTTATCATTGCTTGAAAAAATCAGTCCAAAAAGGAAAACACCTGCCAACCAGAATGGTGTAACTTCTGTCTGAACTTATCTAGCAGGCGGAGTTGCTGTGAATGCACTAAGGCATGGCCAGTTTGGATTCTTCGTGGCTTTCAAAGATTCAATCAGTCACAGAATAACTTGGATTGGACCTTAAATATCGTCTAGTTCCAATCCCCTTGCCATGAGGTCATTGCAAGCCACCAGATTAGGCTGTCCGAGGCCCCATCCAACCTGGCCTTGAGCACCTCCATGCATGGGGCACTCTCTGGGCAGCACTGCCAGGGCCTCACTGCTCTCTAAAAATTTCTTCCTAACATCTGACTTAACTCTCTTCTCCTTTAGTTTAAAGCCATTTGCCCTTGTCCTATCACTATCAAGTCGTGAACAAAAGTCAGTCCCCCTCCTTCTTATACGTTCCGTTCAAGTACTAAAGGCCACACTGAGGTCTCCCCAGAGCATTCTTTTCTCCAGGCTGAACAAGCCCAAGTCCCTCAGCCTTTCTTCACATCAGAGCTGCTCCAGCCCGCTGATCAATTGGTCTCCTCTGGACCAGTTCCATCCACTCCAACCCACTCCAACAACTTCCCATAGCATCCACAGATTTCTGAAAATTTCATATCGTGAATGTGAGTTGCTTTTGTCACCTGGTACATATTAGCATCACAACTCTTGTTCCCACTCTTCCTGAACACACAAAATCCCGTTATTTTTTTCACTGTTGTGAAATGAGAGACTTATAGGTCTTGGACATCAACAGGTTAACACCCAAAACAAAGAAGCTACATTCATTTCTTCCGTGTCCAGCACTTCCGTCACACTTCCACACTTCCATCCAGTGTTTCCTGAAATCTCCAGTTTTTAGGAGTTCTGTAATTTATCTTTATTTGAGAGAGCTGTAGATTACATTATTGCTAGCCATTGCCATTGTTTGTTTTTTGTTTTTTGTTTTTTTCTTTTGTGCCTGTACAATGGAGAGATTAAGTCAGGCCAGAGGACCCCAAATCTTTTTTTTCCATGACAAAAGCTGAAGTAGCTGAACATTAGGAATATTATGTGTGTACAAAGGAAGAACATGCAGCAAACCTTATCACAGCTGGTCTACCTTGAGTTCAGAATAATTTACAGGCCTTGTGTATCTGTGACAAGACACGGGTCCTTGAGTAGCTGCAATAAACCTTATGTTGCAATATCCTTGAAGGTTAGCTGGATCCATCAATTAAGTCCACAGATAAACTGTATTTTTCTGAGTTTTTGGGTCCTCCTTTGGAGGATGAACTTAATTCTGTGATTGCTCTGTTGATTTCACTTCTGCCTACCATTTCTCAGCTCATTACCACTTCAATGAAGAGTGGGTTTGAGGTCAGAAGTGATGCAGAGTATGGTCTAATAAGTCATGTCAAATTAACGCCGTGCTAATATCACTACATCACTTCCAGGGTGGCCTTTCTCTTTCTGTGGGACTGAGTTGGGTTCTACATCAAACTCTCCAAAATGGTGTACAAAAGGTATACAGAACACATCTGTAGTTCATTACAAGGTAGGACCATTCCCAAAAGTGCCTGCATCCAGTCTTGAAAACAGTGCTTCTGGCCATTCAAGTACAGGCTACACTTTCCATGTACTGGAATATCAGTTTAGCTTCAAAAAAGTAGAGCTCTTGCCCCCTTTTGTTTTTTTGGCTGAACTCGTGGTTGATTATTTTGGCTAGGAGATATTTGACTGTGGAAAACTCTTGATTTTTTGCTTCATTTTTGGCCTGATGGCTACAGGAGAGACAAATGTTTCTGTACACATAATTCAGACTACTCCTTTATTGCTTAGGCACGTAACTCCCCTGTCCCAATGAATCACATGCTTTGCACAAGGTGTTACCTTGTCTGTTCTGATCATGCTATTAGTTTTGTTTGTAGGAGTGAACCTTGCTCCCATGATAAGCACACTGTGTAGCATAGTGATTTGAACACAGTTGTGTGGTTTACATCTATAAAATGTAAGTGATAATTAAAACTGTTGTGTTTGTGTCTTGTATCAGTTTCTGTGTTTCCTTTGGGACTTTAAAAAAAAAAGAAAAAACAACAACAATCATAGAATCATAGAATCATAGAATGGCTTGGGTTGGAAGGGACTCCAAGGATCATCAAATTCCAACCCTCCCACCGCAGGGTATTACAATTGTGTTTGCTATGGTTATACAGGTCTGAAGCCAAAGAGTATAAATAATTATGACCTCTTTACCCAAGAGAATATTTACATTATAGAACCTTGATCATGAAGCTTCAGTTAATGTTGTACTCCCCTTCCAAGACACAATCATCAAGATGCAACTCTGTGTAGCCTACTTCTATAAATTTATGTTCAGGTATCTGACTAATTATGAATGTTCTCTCTAGGCAATATCTGCATTGAGCAGCATTGAGTTGTATGACATATGAAGGAACAGGCACACCATTTCCTTTCCTCTGCCTTTGGGATTAGCAAAGTTGGAGTGAATTATGCTTCTCCTTTTGACTAACCTGAGAACATTTCCTCAAAAAACAAAAGCTCACATGAAACTCACGCTTAAAAACTGCCATGAGGTTTGATGTTTTGGAAATTTCTGCTTCCAGCAGTTACCCCCATTATTTTGTCTTTCACCCATCTTTGTGGTTTATTTGGTGAACATACCAGCCCTCTTGTGTTACACAGCAATTCCCACTTCCCAGTTGAGCTCCCAGAATGACCTGTATTTGTCTTTCAGACCAGCTGTATGCACTACATATCCCTTCCCTTTATTACAAGATTCTCTGCTGGACCAAGGATCCAGGAAAAGGAACTCATCTCACAGAGAACCAACACAATACCTAGATGTTCTCCAGCAACTTAAGCTACAGGATCTGCCTGGATCTTGGACAGAAAGTTTCTGCATCGTTCTTTATGCTTTTAGCATTTCCATGTCTTGTATTTTCAAACACTATAAGTAAGAAGGGGACATACCATGTAGCAGAATCTGTTGTGATGGGGCAAGAAGAAATGGTTTCAAACTCAGAGGGCAGATTTGGATTGCACTTAAAGAAGATGTCTTTTACAATAATGGTAGTGAGGCACTGCACAGGTTGCAGTGAGAGGTGGTGGTGACCCATCCCTGCAGACACCCACAGTCAGGGGATGAGCTGTGAGCCCTGATGGAGCTGTGGGTGTCCCTGTGCACTGCAAGGAGTGGGACCAGATGGCCTTTAGAGATCCTTTCCAAAGTGAACCACCCTATGATTCTATGATTTTAGAACAAGAGCTGTAGGCCATAAGCTGGAATTGAGGGCTATATTAAGTTATTTTGCACATATAAAAAAAAAAACAAAACCATTAACTGCATCATTTACAGAAGGGCATGCTTGGGAAAACCTGGTGATGAGTCTGATAATCTCAAGGAGTGCAAAAGTTTCTGAGATAATGATTTGATATGGGTGATGGTGTGTGCATGATAAGGAATGTGCTAGGGATGTACTGCTTCACCCCAAGGCTGTGAAGGCAGTTGCCACAAAGGCCATCGAACAGTTCTGTGCCATCAATGGAAGGCACTGCCGCCTTGTGGTGCACGGGCTGTGATGAACGTGCACAGTGACCACTGAGCATTGTGCTCAGGCACTGCTTGCTGCTCACAGCACAGATTTGCCCTCTCCCAAATGTCAGACTGATCTAAAAGTTGTTCTTTCAGTAAATTATTGCTGTCTTATGTTGGCAAGTTGGAAGCAGGACATGGCTTGCTCATAACGAGAATAAAACACTGCTCACATCTTAGGTCTCTCTCTTTGTAGGTCTTCACACAACCTAAAAAGGAGTGTGGCTTTAACACCTCTGTTTTAGCATAGGGGTCCATAATTATCTCCTCAAATAAGGGGGTTGTTATGAAGAGAGCTGTGGGATTTTCCCCACTCTGGGAGCAGAAGCAATAGACCAAGAGGGGAACAGCATCTGAGAGATGCTTGGCTGGGGCTACAAAAGCAGAGGGGTCCCAGGGATCTTGGGGGGGGGGGGGGGGAGATTTCTTGTCTGTTTTGGCATGGACTTGCATGCTACAAGGTAACATTCATCAGAAATCCAACTGGGAAAAAGCTCTACCTGCCAGGCAGGTGGTTTTGGATAGACATGGATAGACATCCTGAAGTCTATGACTTGTGGCATTGAGGGTTGTGGTCAGTGGGCATGGTGGGGATGGGTTGAGATTAGATGATATTAGAGATCTTATCCAGCCTTGATTCTATGATCATTGAGCATATCAGCTGGGAAAAGATGTCTTCCTTTAATTGCCTAGCATCTTTGACACAATTTAACTCTTTGGATATTATTTTTAAATCACTTTGCAAATTCCATGAACAGCTGGGAAGATTAAAAGCAGCAGTTTCAGCCATTTCTCTTGGGATTGTAACAGAGACAGATTGATGAGGTGGTTGAAACTTCTCACCAAGAACAGATTTTGAACTCCTACAGTGTCAGCATTTTTTTCCTCATAGCTTGATTGTGTGGACTCCGAAATACAAGAGGTCCCTCATGAAGGCAGCTTGCCTCCTCTGCCAATGCTGAGCTTCCACAAGGTTGCATTCCCAAGTCTGCATAATCCACCCACACCTGAGCCTCCAGAGCAGTGCAAAGAAACAGCAGAAGGTATCTAAAAAAAAGAAAATTAAAAAATTAAAAAAACAACAACAACAAAAAAAAAAAAACAGCAAAACAGAGGAAAGCAAAATGAAAGCCCCATGCTTGAAAAACATTTAGTATGATTACTGCCAGAAAAAAATCCGAATGGAAGAACTGGAGTCAACTGATGGGCACATCATACTAAGGTATTCATGATCCCATCCTGGGATCAGAGTCAGCCAAGACATTGCAAAAGTGGGATTTGGATTTTTAGAGTGGACATTGCTGAACTGTATCATTTAAACATGTTTAGTATAAACTGGGTACATGGGATAGGACAAGAGGGAATGGCTTCAAGTTGTACCAGGGGAGGTTCAAGTTGGACGTTAGGAAAAACCTCTCTAACAGAGTGTCAGGACCAGGAATGGGCTG